AGATCGTCGAACCAAAAAACAGACTGATCTTCTTCTGCAAAGGTATGCCCGGTCAAGCAAACTCCCCATCTGATCAACTGAAAAAACCATCAAGGACAACCAAGAACATGCATAGCCAACATTTCCCGAGACTGCAATCAAAGTCAGACACTTTAAAATTCAGTTTCATACCAAACACAATTAAGAATGGAACCTACTACCACCTGATATTTTCACCAAAATTCAGACAGCAGAAGATCTAGCTAAAACTTTTAGTGATATTGTACGGGACCCCACTTAAGCAAATTACTTGACGCACGCGCGGTGTAATTATATCCTTGGATGTTTCACCGTATACCTATCATGATCAAAATCAAGGCGCCGCCATGTTGACTTGCTGAAATCAGTTAATGTGCGAATAATGCAATAGAATAGAAAATAAAACAACACCTACCTAAAAACTCCATTTTAATGCAATATTATCCGAATTTGGAGCGTTCACGTAAAGGAAAAAACCGTCAGCTTGAGCGTTTTCATTCGTAAGACGTCATGTTTTGAAATGACGTTAATGCACCAAAAGCATTAATGGAATTTCGCGGAATTTTGTCTTATTTGGATTTTGTACATTTTTCCGAGCTTTAATTCTTTTCGTAATGCATTAAGATAAGAATTAAGGTTCAATTTTTAACACAGTGAAATCGGCATATCGTATGCACATAGGTTACGATACATGTGGATTTACGTAGGAAGTATATTGTAACAGCCATTATTATGTACATCTCTGAGTCTGCGCTTAGTACATGTATGTATCGAGAATTTTATCAATGTGTTGTTAACAAAGCGAAGAAGCACGTCATATTAAATGATTTATTTCTTATAATGTTCTTGTTCTGAACATGCATGAAATTAAGTTTACCACTGAACATTCATCAAATAACAGTCACATTAGTTACCATGGAAATGTTTAGTCTTTACAATTCCAAATTTAAGTGGGTCCAATTTTCCTGTTACTTGAAAATGTCATATATTGCGAAGAGTTACTGATTCTCGCAAAAAAAATAAAGTCTTTGTTCATCATAAACACATAGTCACGAACACTAGACCATTTAAATACTGAGCCAACTTGTATTTGATTAAAAAAAATACATGTACCAACTTAAATTGAAGCATCGAGAAATTTTAATGAACTTTTCTTGATTTTAGTTTGAATGAATGAAAACAATATTCATTCCAGACTTGACTTCAGTTCAAACTTTGACGCAAAATGTTTGTCTTTAATCCAGCTATTCATAGAGAGGATATGACAAGACCACCACATCAACTTTTCAGGAACTAATAGTTCAGGTATAAATTATTGTATATATCCCCCTAAATATAAATAAAAAATATCCGACCAAGCCGATGTCCAATGTTATCTGAATGATAGAGAGATAGTATGAACACAACATAGTAAGTAAAAATATACATCATAATTTTTATAAAAGAAAGTTGTATTAATTCAGTCAATCCGTCTTTGTTTATTTAATGAAAAGTTTTTGTAGAATTGTTAGAGAACTCAATTGGTTTAAACTACTAGCATTGCATATAGAAAGAAACTTTGACTGTTTGTATTCAAACAGATATTTGGGTTTTTTTTTTTGTGTTTCTATCCGATTCACTTCACCCTAGAGTAGGTTCCGTCAAATGAATTCCGAAGTTCGGTTTTATTACTCATAAAATAAATGTTAATAACTTGGAAAAAGATTTAGTGGAGAATTTGACAGACCCAGCGATTATCAGAACACTTATTTGATTTGGGTATCCCGTAAAATGAGGGAAAATCCAGTTCTTGCTCTTTTGTTAAAATTTTCAAGTAACATGAAAAAGACCAGATATTATTGTTCAGAAATTCCTCTTTGTAAAGTGCCTTTGGGTATATGCTGGTTTCCGTATCAAGCAGTTAATGCGATATTCAAACCAATGCACATTTTCCCAACTAGAAACAATACATTTAATATGTACGAATCTTTTTCCGTTTCATTCAGAATTGTGTTTGCTTTCAGTTTCTTTTCCTCTGTTTTTCCACCATGTGTCCAGGGTCGATTAGTGTAGCATAATTAATTGTTCATGTATAAATTATTAAATCTAAAAAGTTTATAAAACTATAATAAATCATAGTTTTAAAAGGATTTACTTGACTTAAATAGTTGTCCTGGCTTTTAACATAATCTGAAGGACAATACAATGTACAAATATATTTAAAGTCCTACCTGAACAAGTACCATACATACATCTATCGTTGATCACCTGGACTTTCAATCATATCGATAAATACGACCTTGTAAGCATACATTTAACTATACGCAGAAACATATGTATTATGTGTATCTGCTTTAAGTAAATGAGCGGAAACGCATCTCAAAATTAGGTTCACATTTTATTATCTTGGTAATTACAAAAGTAAACAGTCAGAAATGTATCACTAGAACATCAAAACATTCCAAAAATTAAAATGAATAATTCCGCACTGTATACAATTGTAACTGTGGAGGGAATTTTTTTCGGGGGAAAAAAACATAAAAAGGGAGAGCCCTTTTCGTCAGTATTAAATAAAATCATCTGACTGCTATAACTTAAGTTGGATAATATAAGATCTTAATTTAGTCATCAGCCAGTATATGACACTTCATGAATTTAAAAAAAGGACATGTTCATCAAATTAATTTAGTTTCAGATGAGAATTTATAAAAATGTGATACATAATTAACACGGATATAGCAATAGTGTATGAAAATATTTCAACTGTGACGCATAAGATCCGTTATGGTAAACTATGCACTGAATGCCTCCCTAAAACATTCGATGAGATCACACTTGGGTCAGTACCTTCCATATTAGAAGCAACATTATATTAATGAGATAAAAAAAAAGAATGAAAGGTATCACAAAAATACCGAACTTCAAGGTAAATTCAAAAAAGAAAAGCCATAAAATCTGAAAAAAATAAAAATCATCAACCAACGGAACGAGTGGAAAACAACTGTTATATTCATGACTTGGTACAGGCGGTTTTGTTTTACTGTGCTTATTCAGTGGGCTTTGGGGTATCACAATAGCAATGGCTAAAACAGTTTACCAAATTGCAGTTTGAATTCTTTTCACACAAACTGATCAACTGGTAAAATATTTTAACAGATTGCTTTAGTGAAAGGTTGTTAGTATGAAGTAAGTGCAGTGAAATGTAAAGTAATACTTACCACCCAGCTTCAGTTAGTTGATGCCTATGTCATGAATTTCAAACAAAATAATGAGTTACTATAATATGAGTCACTGGTTTAAAAAGGTCTAACTTTGACATACAAACTTCTATCCTTAATAAATTAGATAAATAAATAGTTCAAAACATTGTTTTGTAGATCAATAATTTATAGCTTCTTTTTCTTAGAGGAAGTTACTGTGTCATTGTGATTTGGATAATATTTTCTATAAGAATTACTGATCTGCTGGCATTAAAGGGAAATAATTTTTAGTGAGTCATTGTATATTGAAAATTTAGTCAAAGATACCAGGCTTATGATTTTGCCTACAAAAGATTCATCAATACGACTCGAATCAAACAATTGAAATGCCAAATAAGTACGAAGTTGAAGAGCATTGAGGACACAAAATTCCGAAAGGTTTTGCCAAATACTGCTTATAAGTAATCTAATCCTTGGTGGTAGACAATCATTAGTACTTTGAACAATTAAAAGTTTTGCAAAACAGTTAATCTATAATTTTGACCATATCAATGAAAATTCATGTCAACACAGAATTGCGGACTCCCGGGCTGGTGATACCTTCTTACTAATTTACTGAGAAATCTGTATGATTTATAGAATTTTGAATGTGTCCCATAATATGTTTTTATCAGTTTTTTTTCAAAATTTTAATCATCTTAAAAATAAATTTCAGTGTTCTTTTCAGAACAGAGGATAATAGTTTAATAATCATGGAAACAATGTTACAAACACATTACTTATAAAATGAAGGAATTTGATATTTGACAGAATAAAGTTTTGCTCATTTTACAGTTATGTAAATTATTTTCCTTTAATATTAGCAGATTAGGAATTGCTTTAGAAAAAATATCCAAATTTCAATTATGCACTAACTTGCTGTAAGAAAACAGAGCTATAATTATTGATCTACAAAACAATGTTTGAACTATTTATTTATAAAATTTATTTAGGATAGAAGTTTTCATGTCAAAGTTAGACCTAAGTTTTAAACCAGTGACTCATATTATAGTAAGTCATTATTTTCTTGGAAATTCATGGCATAGACATTAACTAACTGGAGCTGGGTGGTAAGTATAATTTTTTAGTTCACTGCACTTACTTCATACTAAGAACCTTTCACTTATAATAAGTAATTTGTTAAAATAATTTACCTGTTGATCAGTTTTAGGGAGAAGAATTTAAGCAGTTACTGCAATTTGGTAAACTGTTTTAGCCATTGCTATTGTGATACCCCAAAGCCCATTGAATAAGCACAGTAATACAGAAAATAGATAATTAGACCTGGTTTGATATTTAGAAAAACCTCCCAATAGTATGGCAGTTGTCTATAGTTGCGTTACATTGACAAAATTCAATGAGCAACCCAACCAAACATAATTTGTTATCGTGACAGTAATCCAGAACCGGCAGCCAAAACTGCGTAAAAATACATCGCAGACATACATCCGTGGTTATCGTTTGTTGCTCTATATGATATTTGTTTTTCGTTTATTGTCATGAACATGAACTAGGCTGCTAGTTTTCTCGTTTGAATTGCTTTACATTTGTCATTTCGATGCCTTTTATAGCTTTGTGTGATGGGTTATGCTCAGTGTTGAAGGACGTACGGTGACCTATCGTTGCTAACTTCTCCATCATTTGGTCTCTGGTGGAGAGTTGTCTCATTGGCAATGTTATCACATCTTCTTACTTTTTTTAAATACAATTGACTTTAAAATTGTAGTTGATAGTACATATTATATAGTAAAACATAACTTATTATATAGTTTCCTTATAATTGGGATCCAGCAGCCAAAACTGTATAAACATACTTCACAGACAGACAAACAAACTGGCTTTAAAATTCAAACAAACATACAAATAAATCTGACAAAGACGCCAACAAAAATTTGCTAGTAGTTGATAGCACATACAGTACACTTAAACATAATTTCATATACACTTTCCCGATAAAAGACAAATCAAGTAAAATATAAATACTATAGTATTAATTAATGGGTGTTTTCATAATGGCCCTGTTATATGTCCAAGGTCTGTTATAATGGTCGAAGATGCCAGTAATGGCACGAGGCAACGCCGAGGGACATTACAGCCCCCGATGCCATTATAACTCACCGAGGACAAATAACATGGTCAATTTGAAAACACACATTTCTCATTTACCAAACCGTCAATGTGTAAGATCTAATCAAGCCAAATAATGTTTTTGTGGAGAAACTATATATATAATTATACCAAATGCAACATTAAAAAGAAACTTTAAAAGTGATGTGATGGAACAACATGTAAATGTAAATATAGTTTAATTAGTGTCCTATTCAAAGCTATCTATTGCATACAAAATACAAGATTTCAGTCTTGATTTTAAAACTCAATATCAAATAAATTGATACCCATCATGAAATGTGTAATGTAACTATTAACTTGACAACTGGGTCAAATAAGATACTGAGTCATGATTCTTGAGAACTTTCAATTTCTTGATGTTTCTTTTCCCCAGAAATGTATTTGAATTGATAACAATAGAAAATCCGTAATAACCCTGATTATTCATAATGGCCCTGTTTTTTTTTCATAATGGCACTGTTTTTTCATAATGGCCCTGTTTTTTTCATAATGGCCCTGTTAGAGTTTAGAAAATCTCAAAGGTAAAAGAAAATTTCGCGAAATTGTAAAATGTTGATTCTCATTTTTCTCGAAAACAAGCATGGTATCCTATGTTTAATTTTATGAATTTTTTCAAGAATTTATCTCAATCTACAATATATCTCAAAATGACACATAGGACAATACCATGTGTAACCTTCTCATGAAAGCAGAATATTTCGTTTTATCTGCATATTTCCCAGAAAAACGAAGATGATCTCAGTTTCATGAAAGATCTAAGTATATATATTGAGACAATACATCTTTAAGTTGATAATATCCTGGTTTAAGTAAGATAAACATAAATAAAATCCAATTAAAAAACTAGTAATTGGCTTCCTGTGTCATTATTACTGGTACGATATGAACAAGAGTATCAATCGCAAAGTTTCTGTATTGTTTTTTTTTTCATATTTAGACAATTGTTTAACGACATTGCCAAGAGTTTACTTTGTTGGACCGGGCAATGGAATGTCATAACCATTATCTTTTTCAGTTTGATTACACTTTTCTAAAGGTTGGTAAGGGTTTAAATAATCAATACCATCGTTTTTATCGTTTTTATCATTTTCCGATCCTGTGGACGAGGACGTCTCTGCATGAATCATTGCAAATATTTCAGCTTCAAATGTCAATGGACTATTATCTGTTGGCTTAGGCGTAAGATAGTCTTGGTCGTTTTCTTGGATGCTGGAAATTTGGTCATGACTTTTAAAGCTAACCGGTCGGCTTTTCTCGTATGGATGTTTGTCAGAGGTCGTTGTGATTTGTCTGCGGTTAGGTGGAGTGTATCTCACTTTTTCTCCGTTGTCGTTTTTAATACTGTCTGAGTCTGATGATCCGTCCACCGCTTCTAAATATGGATTGTCGTTTATACTTATATTTAAAATGTAATCTTCATTAATAGTGTGGTATAATCCTTCGCTCAACTCAAATGTCTCGTGCCTTTCGTTTGGAGGATCGTTTGGATTTACTTCGTCATTTAACGACATAGATACGCTTGAAGTTTTTCTCCTGAAGGTACATTTCTTGCATACATAGATTATAAGTATCAATGTAAAACCGGTTACGGAAGCAGAGTAGATAAGAAGTTCTAATTGAAACCCTGTAAAAGTGCAAAATAATATATGCGTTTGTAATATTTTGTATAGTACACAAAGAAAGGCACAGCTGCATACCAATCTATCTTGAAATATGAGACCAAACTCCTGTCCATCGTCGTGTGTGTCGTATCAATTTGGGAGGAGGGGGGATAATTTTGAAGAAGCTACTATTGTATTAAAAATGACTATTATTCGGACCCGGCAAATGTAGTTCAATTATCATATGTCATAAACATAATTACCATTATACACGTATTGGTTGGTCAAAATATATAAGACCTTACCCAAGAAGATGTTTAACAGATATTTGCAACTTTGCAAAATACATCTTTTAGCAGTGTATGTATCTTTTTTAATATTAAAAGCATTGGTTCATACATAAATATTAAAGACAAGATCTCAAAATCAAGCTATTTTGACATTTTTTTCAGTTTTGAACAAAGTGCAAGAATTGTAGATAAAGCACTTATGCCAAAAATGTAAGACAAAATTAAAAAATATCAATATCAAGGATTGGTGGTTTGGTGTCTTTTGAAGATCTGAACTATGCTATTTGGCAGATTGGTGAAAAAAATATTGATTTTTGAATTAGGGGGGCCAAGAGAGTGGCCTTATCATACATTCTCTTTTGTAAATATAATTTTCAAGATATGTAATAATGTATGCAAGTAGCTTGTTTTCAATCAATCTTCCAAGAACATGAACTGTAATTAAAAAATAAGTTACATTTTCAGGAAATTCATATACAATCGTGTTACTTATAAACTCATCATAGATGCCAGGCTTAAAATGTTGTACACCAGACGCGCGTTTCGTCTACGAAAGGTTCATCAGTGACGTTCGAATCAAAATACTTAAAAAGGTCAAATAAAGTACTAAGTTGAAGAGCATTGAGGATTCAAAAGTCCAAAAAGTTTTGCCAAATACAGCTATGGTAATCTACTTCTGATAATAGTCATAACTTTGTTGGTTACAGTTATTCTTTTCATTTAATAAAGTCTTAATTCAGCTGACTCGCTCACAAACAAATTAAAGATTTGATAATGATTAATTTGTGAGAAATTGTCTGAAGTAACACATCAATGAAGTCCGTAAAAAAAACAATAATTGCTAAAATATTCAATTCTTTTTTTTTTTATAATTCGTCCTTATCTATATGTAAGTTAAAAGGAGAAGTTATGAAAAGGTCACTTGTTGGCCCCAGTATCTTTATTTTTGAATTATTCATTGCATGATTGCATTAGGCTTCGAACTTTTATATTTAGTGCAAAACAGCAAACACTGCCAAAATCGCCTCATTTTAAGATCTTGTTATTAATATTTAGATAAAAGCAAGTACTTTGTATTTTCAAAACGTAAACAAACACAGCTTTACCATCATCCTTTATTCTACAATAATAATACTCGCGTATGACAGTTTAATAGAACTATCTGGATCCTCACTACGTATACACATTTTAAACAGGGATATGGTCTCACTCAAATAAATTATTTTTAAAGTAGTTAACACCGACATACACGCCTTTACTTGGATAGTCAATGGAAAAGTATATACTGTGAAATTAAGTGCTCGGGCCAAGCCCCTAACTTTAAATTTCATAGTATATAGCTTTCCATAGACTAACCGTTACTTATTTCAATGATTTAAGAATTGTTCTCAATTAAAAATTGTACCACATATATTTTCCATTTGATGTAGCGACAATCTTTAATGATTTTTAACCGAATGCGACTTATCACTTATCATGAGGAACATGAAAGATACTACTTGTGAAACAGGAACAGATCCCAATTACGGAGCAACCAACTCGCCCTAAATCTTAGTGGGGTCCCAGTGCTCAAACATTAGATAATCGTGTAGTCTTTTGCGGATTATTGTTTTTTTTTCCTGTTTTTTTTTTTTTTTTTCTTTTGGTTCTTTTGGTAGTGATTGTCCCTTTTCGATTCAATGTTCTGATTGCATCAAAGATACATTCCTACGTTATTTCTATAGTAATAAATTACCAAAAAGGCTGTATACTACATTAAAAGGCTATATATAGTTATTGGCGTGATTTCTATGGATATAGACAAATCGTTACATATATAGATAATTTTTTTTACATCTTGTGATCCGTTTAGGGTCGAACAACTGATGTTCTTAAATCCTGCTGACTGCCATTGGCGATTGCCATATAAACGGTTCACCAGATGTAACAAAATGGATCTTATTATTGATTTATTACCAAACAGAAAACAATAAACTTGCGGAAAAGATGGTATACCGCAAACATAAGGTGCAAAAATTTGTACACCATATCCGGATTTCGACAATTAATGTCTCTTCAGTGATGTTAGGAATCGAAACGGTATTTGGAAGGCCATATAATTTACCTCAATTTAGAATAGACTCTTGAAATTTGAAAGAGTCGAAATAGGATCAACGAATCATATAAACCCGAAGGCAAATATAATACAAGCCCAAACGAAAAAATATAAACAAGTCTAAATTGAAAACAACGTTCAAACCTATTATTGCGTAGATAAAATATATATATATATATATACATATGTATTCTATCTTTTTATAAATGCTTTTAATTGAACAAATTCAGGATAAAATGAATGGTGGCTTTTTTGTGTAGGTATTTGAAGCGGCAAGAAAGTTATAACAATTATTGCATAATAAGTTTAAAGTTTTAACTTGGTCAATATTTTAAATGCTTACACTATAAGGACAACTAAGAAAACAAATATTCTAACAAGCTTTTCATGACGCCAATGAATATTTCAAAGGCCCATATTAAAATTAACATTGAATTTTCATCAAATTGTATTTATCCGCGATAGGGCACTTCTGTATTGCATGCTTTACAGAAAATTGTTGCATCTTTTCCCCTTTTTGCATTCAAAATACTTTCTACAAATCGTTGTCCATTATATTTTGTCCATGGTGTTGACTTTATCTTGTCCTCCAATGTATTTTGTTACCGCGTCCTGAGAATCTTAGAACGTTTCTTTTCTATATGGTATGCCAAAATGTCAATAGTAAGCGGTTGTAAAATTGTAAATTCTTATACATATTAGTCTGAAAATCAGAGAAGCTAAGGGAATTTTTTATAGATTTGTTAAGTATTTCTTTGGTGTTGGTTATTTTCTTTCCATGTAAATTTCTGACTTTAATTTTTTATAATAAGGATAACGTTGACGAAGAAAGGCTTCACCACACATAACTTATTAACGACAGCTGTATTTCTATGACATACTCTGACACGTGGTCTATAGACTCGGACATAATACGTAAGGTGTTGCTGTTGATGTTCCAAATGCTTGATTTCGAAATCTGTTGAGACAAAGATATACATTTGCAAGTTCATTGTTTGTCTGAATTGAATTCAAAACAACTTATATATGTATTATAGATAAAAAGAATGAAAACCAGTATTAACAGTGATAATGCCTTAAAAGTTTTAAATTGTCTAGTTCCAAATGACTGTACCTATAATTTGTTACTTAATATGTGTGTATTATTGCTACTTTTACATTTGTGTTTTACCTGGCGTTTGTTCAGTAGAAACCATACAACTAACTTCCTGCACCGGCGACGTTGTAGTTAAATAGGTTTCTGAAGCAAAACATTATAAGAAAATTTCAAGAAATAAAGAAATTTAGAAACGGCCATCATTTTACTGTGATTTGCGTGTGGTATATCTTTTGTTTGTTAAATAAATAGAGAACAGTGTTTGAGTGTATTAAATCTTTATTTTCATGTACATATATTACGCTCATTCAATATATCTAACAGTAAAAATTAGTGTTGGTTTTTCTTAGGAGGTTAATATATAATATGTATAACTCACTATGTATCTTTGCATAAAGTGTTACTTTGTGTATCAGTTTTCATCTTACCAACCCTCTATGATTAAAACCGTGTTGGAAATCATATCAGAAAAAAAAGTTTAAGCTCTCCGAATGCAATCTACGCTGCTTTTTTTGAAAAAGTTACAGAAAAGTATCTAATTGTAAAATATGTTGTTTTCTTCAATAATTCACATGACATAAAATTCAGGTGTTTTTCTATATAGGCAATCCATAAAGTATATAAGGCAGTCGATTGCTACGTTTCTTTTGTTTTTTATATAACATGTTTAATTTACAAACGATGCAAATTGTAGTCCCGTGTTGAGTTCAAAATCCCCTTCAAATTAAAAATTGTTGGTATTTCATAGCTAAGGTGCCATTCTTACGGGAGTATTCTATGTCTCTGGTTGTCGTTGTCTCTTTTTCATGTGTATCAATGTCAGTAGTAATAAGGACCAAACTTGTTGGTGTTGGTGTTGGTTTCAAGGAGTGCTCAATTATGCATCCGTGGATATGGTGACATCTAATAACAAAATTGAATGAAGTGATTTTAATTATGTAAAACATACACGTTCAACAGTAGGAAACCAGATCGTCAGTGCTTTTAAAAAAATGAACAATTGGCAATTGAAGATCATAGTTTTGACTTTGGTAAAGTGAAAAGCAATAACAGGCGGAAATCCGTCACACACTCACACTCTTATTAGTTATCAAAGGTACCAGGATTATGATTTAATACGCCAGACGTGCGTTTCGTCTACATAAGACTCATCAGTGACGCTCAGATCAAAATAGTTATAAAGCCAAACAAGTACAAAGTTGAAGAGCATTGAAGACCCAAAATTCCAAAAAGTTGTGCCAAATACGGCTAAGGTAATCTATTCCTGGGATAAGAAAATCCTTAGTTTTTCGAAAAATTCAAAGTTTTGTAACAGGAAATTTATAAAAATGAAAACACGAAATATTCTAAATAATCATAGAGCTAAGAGTTGTTTTCAGAATAAATAATTATGTTTTGTTTTTTTCAGATATTGATTTGAATCGCATAATAAATAATAGGATATCTGGAAATATCCATTATCGCATTTAATCTATTGTTAATCTGCTATTTAATATACATTTTTAAATTATAATAAAATAATGCAACAATAAACAAAATTACTTTTGATTGTGCTGACAATTGCATTCGTAGATACATCGATCGCCAAAGAATATCCCACTGCATTGTATACAAGGTTCACCGTTATCTGAGGTAAATCCAGTTTCACATGCTAAATTATTAAAAAAGAAAATAGGTGAAAAGACAGAATATGTTGAAGACATTGATTAAAAAAAAAACATTTAGGCGTGAGTTATTTTATGATTTTATTCTGAGCAAAAAGAAGGAACAATTTTCCTTGAATCTATTACCGCCTTCATCTTTACTGAACTATAAATACTTTAATAGGACATACAGAAAATACAATTTTGATAAGATCTTTAAAAGGTTTTGGGCAATAATAAAAATGAAATTAAAAGGACATTCTTAACCAAAGTCACTATGCTATCGGAAGATAATGTTAATAAAAGCTTCGTAAAAGAGAGACGAAAGATACCAAAGGGGCATTTAAACTCATAAGTCGAAAATACACTAACAACGCCATGGCTAAAAAAGAAAAAGACAAACAGACAAATAACAGTACACAGTGCACAACATAGAAAACTAAAGACTGAACAACACGAACCCCACAAAAAACTGGGGGTGATCTCAGGTGCTTCGAAAGGGTAAGCAGATCCTGGTCAACATGTGACACCCGTCATGTTGCTTATGTTAGTACAAACCCGATGATAAGTATAACTCGGTAGGTCACATTCGGGGAAAAGGGGACGGGATTGTAGTTACGACAATTGGAACGTATCCGTTGTCATCTGTGAAACAGATATTCCATAATGGTCAACTCAACTTCACCACTTGGAACTCTTGGTTTAATAGCTTTCTTATGAGCAGCAATCCTCTATAAAGGAGATCATGATAGGAAATACAAGCCCTCGAATATCGTATCAACTGGGAGATATATACTCCGTATGCAGGCGCTGCTGGAAAGTTCACAATTTCGAAGCTGAAATCATATCTTTTTTCGTAGAGTTTGGTTTTCAACCGACCCTCGTTGTCAATTTCTAGATATAATTCAAGACATGAAGCAGACGTAACTGTATCTAATGTATCCGTTATCTCAAGTTCGATGGGATAGATGCGTTCAACATAGTCACCAAATTTTGAATTATTTAGTGAGAGAACATCATCTATATAGCGGAAAGTAAAATTAAAGGAACTTTTTTTCTTTCTTCCAAAGAGGTTCCTGTATGAAGTCAGCCTCATATGAATAAAGGAACAAGAAGAGGAGCACAGTTGGTTCCCATGGGAATACATATTGTTTGTTGAAAAACACGTCCTCCAAACGTGACACATATGTTGTCAAACAAGAAATCAAGCATCTTGATTATGTCAGTTTCAGAGAATTTTTTGTTTGAATCAGATTGACTTTTACAAAGTAAGATTTATCCCTCCTTAAGACAAGATACTTGTAAAGGAGCATAAGCTACGATTTAGACAAAACTAAAAGAACGATTGTTTTTGTTTCAAACATAAGTTCAAATATAGATTATATAGTAATTCTCTTCAGAAGCCAGTCAGGGTAATATTGTAAAAGAAATTAAAAAAAAAACATCGCTGATATATATAAGTGTCTTGCTAGACAATAATTCAATCCATATCTTATCTGGTTACCTATGCATGCAACCTTTAATTTGAACCCTTATTGGAAATATGTTGCCAATGTGCTCATCATGATCAGCTATTAAATGAAAAGAATGTCAAAATTAAAAAGTGAAACAAGGGAATCATTTGAAAGAACAATTTCCTTGACTGTTTTTTACCACAATAAAGTCATTCTTATACAGGTAAAACGATGGTTTACATAGTTTTTAACCTATAACATGGAATCAAACAGACCTAGAAAATCGTCATTATTCTATCACACGTGTTCTATTTCATATTTATCTTTATATCGGGTCACAAGACCATCGGAATTCTTCGAAATCAATGTTATCTCGATGGTTAATAAGATGGCATGTAATTCTATAATACAAACAAAATGCTGATACTTTATTACCAGTGCATGCATTGTTTATTGTTTCCTATGAAAATGATGTTATTCTAGGATATGAGCTATCAAAGAAACTAAATAAAATTGACAGTAAATGTGAATCTGATAGACCATATTTTTTTATATTGAAATTGAAAACTTAGTAAATAACCAACACAGAATATAGACCAAAAAATTCTAAATATCAGCAAGGAGAATGCACTCTCAAAGCAAAATAAGAAAATGAGGAAAATGTGTGCTTGTTGACACAGAAAATTTACAACATAACCCAGACACAGAAGAGTCTGATGCCCAGACAATATCAGCGACAACTCTACGGAAATGACACATACATTGAAAAACACATGTGAAGCTATGCTTATATATGCAAAATCAAACGAGACGAAAAGGGACGATAAAAATAACAATCACATGTCACATAAGGATACCTCGAGAAGCCCTAGACAAACATCAAGCCGATTAGATACTAACATCAGACAACATACGCAGGAGAACACATATCCAATTAATACACATAACAGATTTCAACCTCTATTATTGGATGAAGAAAATATACCTATAAACTCAGACAATATTAAACGTACCAGTGTTACCAAATCGCTAAAACAAGTAGCTGTAGTAGGAAACTCGCACATCAGAAACTTAAGAACAAACTTTCTATTTAATGGATGTGAAGTCCGTAAGTTAATTGTAAATTGCTGTGAAGAAACAAAGGATAAGTTATATGAATTTGAACAACAATTTGATAGTGTCTTTATTCACACTTTCACCAAGGACCTAAGGAAATTAGACCCAGAATCATGCGTCAACTTATGCAAGGATTTAGTTAATGACATTAAAGACAAACACGCAAACACCAAAATTATTATTTCACTCCCATTCTTAATATCCAACTAGAGGCTCTAAAGAGCCTGTGTCGCTCACCTTGGTCTATGTGCATATTTAACAAAGGACACTCTCCAACATTATAGACGAGAATAGAATTCATGACAAAAATCTCTGTTATGTTGATCTTGAATTGCTGATCATTTAGTTTGTTTAGTTTCCCTCTATCTTCTTTAGTTGCTCAAAACACAAGAGGGTAAACAAAATCCTCATTTAAGGGCAACCACTCCTATAAAGAGTGACAGTCTACTAACTATATCGGCAAAATTTGACTTGTTAGCTGATAATTTTTGTGATTTTAAAGTGTCTATTTATCTATTATAATTTTTATCATATAAGGCAAAACAAATGGTTAAAATCGTCATTAAAGGGCAATAAATCCAATAAGGAGTCGTCGGACGATTTCCGCCATATTGTTTTACTTGTAGATCTTGTCTTGCTGATCATGTTTGCTATCTATCTATTATAATTTTTTGTAGATATAAGGCAAAATTGGTAAAAATCGTCATCAATTGGCAATAACACTAATAAGAAGTCGACTGACAATTTCGACTATTGAACTTATTTGTAGAGCTTATCTTGCTGATCATGTTTGCATTTTAAAGTTTCTCTCTATCTTTTATAGTTTTCAAGATAGTAGGCAAAAAAGAAAAAGAAATGGTAAAATTTGACATTAATGGGCAATAACTCCTATAAGAAGTCGTCTGACAGTTTTGACGTATATTAACAATCAGCAGAGCTCAATATTGTAAACATTTTTGTTCCGTCGGATTTTCTCTATTTATAACGGTTTTCAAAATAATAAAACTAAATACCCCAATGATGATTATGGCCAAGTTTGGTTAAATTTGGCCCAGTAGTTTTAGAGGATAAGATTTTTGTTAAAGTTAACAGACAACGACGGACGACGGACAACGGAAGACGGACGATGGACGCCAAGTGATGAGAAAAGCTCACTTGGCACTTTGGGCCAGATGAACTAACATACAGAATACTTATACAATATTCTTTATGAACTGTATTTATGTAGCACTTTGTGAGAATCAAGGTTTTTGTATTCGGGGCGACCCAGTCAGAAAATTATTCTCATCAGAAGGAATCCATTTGTCAAATGAAAGGTTAAAAATTTCTGCTGCCAACATCAAGTCTTCAGTTGGCAAATGTTTTAAATTAGACATTAGGCAGGTAACGAGCAAGGTTAATCAGGTGCATACTAAAACTGGTTATAGACCCGCACATAGAGATAACCGGCGTCACTATCAGAACAATGCCAGGCACATTGAAAATGCTGATAAATTCCACTTTGGTACCCTTGGCCCTTATGGCTATCAACCTGGCTATATGTTCCCCTATTTTCAATCCCCATATCAGTCCTAAGTAAGATATATGTATTATATAAATATGCATTTTTTTTTTATTTGAACTCACAAACACAAAAAAGTTGTACAAACATTTGTTACTTTACAAACATGTAGTATGTAAAAAAATAGAAAAAAGGCATGTCAATTGCCCAGCTTATTTTTAAAAGAAAATTCATCTGAAGAACTTTACAAAGAAAAATAATACTATTCAGACATTCATTCTGTTAGCAAATTACATTTTTACAGGTATGTCGTTAACATCAGGTCTTACAATTATTTTACATGTATGCACATGTACACATAATTAGTTCAATACTCAACATTTACCATGTACATATTATCATGGTTTTAGAATCTAAACTTTCTGTACTACATGTGGTGCAACAGGGACAGTATCCCAACAGGAACACTAACGGATATCTTAACAAATTGATAACTAAAAGATAATTAAAATCATGTTCTTTTTTTGTAACCTCAACTTTGTAATCTCCTTCAACACATTATTATAGCAGATATATAAATAAAAGATCCACATTTATATGTTGGATACGGTATTTTAAATGTTCAGCTACAGAAACTTTGAGTTATCTCCCATTGTATGTGATCCAACTTTATATGTTAGAGTACATGTTGCAAGTTAAAATTACATTACTTTTTGTTCATTTTTATTTTTATAAATATGAACAGGGTACGGTTAACCTTTCAATTAAGTATTTATATCGATCGCATTATTTTATACAAAAGAAGTTTACACTTAGCTTGTTGGAATATTAATGGTTTTAAACATAAGGGATACAACAAATACAGTGATCCTAGTTTCATCAAAGAATTGAGTGAAAAAGATGTTATTTGTGCAGGAAACACACTTCTCCTTTGAGGATTCACTATCGTTACCAGGATTTAAATCTGTTAATTTAATACGACCAAATTCAAAGCTCACTAACAAAAGATCGGGAGGTTTATCCATTTTAGTTAAAAACGAGATCAAATCAGGGGTAAAATTTCTCGAGCATTCAAATAATGACTACATATGGTTAAAGTTGAGTTGCTCCTTTTTCAATCTCACAGAAGGTATATATTTGTGTTTCATTTATGACCCCCTGAAAAATCACCTTACACTCATTCTTTAAATGATGACATATTTGACCTTATAGAAAAAGATACTGCAAAGTACTCAGCATTAGGGAAAATTGTATTAGCAGGAGACTTAAATGCCAGAACCGTAACTGGTGAACTTGATTGTATAGATAATGAGTCCAAAGATAATCTTCTGCCTTTATATGATAATTACAACCCAGATTATAATATATCCATCCGTTATAGTAAAGACATGCACATATCTAGCTGTGGGAAATAATTAAACGGGTCTCCGAATCCTTAATGGCACAACCAGAGGGGATTTCAATGGACAATTAACTTGCCATAATCCTCAAGGGAGCAGTGATGGGAGAGTTGGGGCGATACCCCCTATCTCTTGAGGTTATTCTTAAGACGTCTACATGTGGTTCAGACTGTCAGAAAAAAATAACTCCCTCATTAAAGAAGCATTTAAAGAGTCTAAAATTTATCTAAAAAATATTAGGACAATTGGTTGGGTAGCATTTATTCATTATTTGAATATCTCAATTTAACTCCAGAATATTTGTTAAATCACAAATCTAATATAAAACCAATTATCATTAAAAGACTCAGAATTAAATACAATGAAATTTGGTTCAATCAATTAAATGATGACAAACTTGGCATGGTGCAAGTATATAAATTTCGAACTTATAGACTATTTAAAAATAATATTGGCCTTGAAAAATATTTCTGTTAAAAATTGTAAAACAATAATTGAGTAAACCAAATTTAGAATCAGTGCCCACGACAAAAGATTTTGTAAATTATGTAATAATGACATTGTGGAGGATGAAATTCATTTTCTTCTTCAAAGTTCATCACTTAGAAATGAAAGGTCCAGTTTCATTTTAGATTTATCTTCCAAATTTACTAATTTTGAATTTTTAAATGACCGATAAAAATTTATATGGTTGATGTCAAATGAAGATGCAATAGTTAATAATATAATGAAAAAATTAATAGATAGTTTAATAAAGACTAGAAGAGCAAAATTAAGTAATAAGACATGAGTGCCAAGCTAGACAACAATAAGAAAAACGCTCCAAACTGATTGCTAACTAAATATATCTTAATGTTTTCTGGCTTGAGTATATAATTATTTGAAATTTAATGCTTACTTACCAACACATTTCCCATCTTTTTCTTCAAAATCAGAACAACAATAATAGTTTCTACAAAACGAAGAAAATATATGGTTCTGTATATGTATAAATGTTAGTACACCTAGTTATTAGATAGATTGAATGAGTTCTGCTCAAACGTCGAATGTCAAATTCAATGCATATACAAGACGAGAGCAAATTAACCCAAACAGGTAGATTAAGCAAAGTGGGTCAACCGGTATGAAGTGTGAGTTTAAAATACCACTGGGATAAAAGGTGTAATGAATAGGAACATATTTGTTTGAAACAGGTCACACTTGGAGTCTTTCAAACGTTGTTTCAAGGGATTATTCACGTGGCACTCTCTCTTCATGAGGCATCGGATTCAACGTCCCCATTTCGCACGCACTTGGCTGTCTAGTTACAAACACCGTACAACTAAACAGACGCCCTTCTTTAGCATGAATTTTACGGGAAATGTCCACGTGACCATTTTTCTACACCCTGGTCAATCCTTGAGCTTTCTCCATATCAAAACTTTATAAAACCTTACTTTTTATTTTTTCTATCAGGTTTGGTAACACTTCAAAAATGAATACACAATTATAGTTGGCCATTGAATCAAATAATTGTAAGATTATGCGGTGAATAATTATGCTGATTATAATAGGATTTCTTGATTTAATGCGTTCATCTTAGTTGTCCTACCAAATGTCATTTAAAACGAGTAAAAATTGGATAACGGTTGTAATTCTGGTAGCCTCAATAACCTACACCCATATTATCACAAACTAACAAGGTACATTCAAATAACGGTCTTATAAAAAAGTTTACAAATACGGTTTTAAATCAAGTAACATAATTGTTACACTCAATACATTGGGCTTTATATTTATCTAGGCGTGTCCAAATTAAGTATAAGGCCAATGTACTGTAAAGTAACTGTTATAGAACATTGTGTACTATCAAGACTTCATGATTGTAAAAGTAAAAGGCCAAAAACTTATATGCATGCAACTTACCCCGAAGTTCTATTCAAACAAGCATGCGGAATTTCTTCTAAACAATTACAAAAAGGCAATAAGCATAGAGACATTAGTTTAAATATCATTTTAATGTTGGATAGTTAAATTTTGTTAATTGCGTGCTAAGCTAACCACTCAAGCGCCAGGAAAAGGGAAATTAATATCAATATTGTATAATCAACCGGATATCTATCAAAGTAAGTGTATTGTTTGTAAAACTCGTTATATATTTTGATTTTAGTGGAATTTCCGAAAAAAATATCGTTATTGATTATTTCGGTGTAAGTCAACATCTAGCAGTTTAAGTCTGTTCTTTTATAAGTTTTTTTAAGCAAAAAAAGACAACTTACTGCAATGCGATTTTAGAATGTTAAACATGTAAAAGTAACACCTCTTTGCCAAACTGATAAGGAACTCAAACCTTATTTGACATTCGTGGAATTGTCATTACTTGTTGTGTCTGTGCCGGAAGCAAATACAATATCAGTGCCTTATTTGAAATTGGCTAAATTTCTAATTTAAATAGCTAAGTTCGTAGGATCTAAACACAATAATTAAAGTCGTAGCCCGTATAGCAAAATACACACATATATATTACTTCAGAGTGGCGCCTTTACCCTAGTCGACCGATTTTTCTCGCAGAACACACGAAAATAATTTATTTGTTTTTCGCCCTTGAAATACCTGAAATAGATAACAGTATAGACGATTAGCAGTCAATAATCAATCAAATAGCACATCAGGTAAATCCTATTGTGTGTACACATTCATACATGTAGCAATGGCAAATTAAACAAAATTATAATTTTTAAGTGCAATAGAGGATGCAAAATATACCGAATTAAAATGAAAAATATATATATAGGAGTCTAAAGTATCGGTCATGATGTTGTAAGATAGTTTTGACTTTATCGCCCAAAAAGAAGCAAATATATATATACAAATGTTTTGTGCTGAGTGAATTTGGACTATTGATTTGCTTCTTTATGAAAGTTAATGAAAGAAATTCACTATAACATAGTGTATGAAAGACGAATTTACCTTATATCATGTTTTAACGGGCAAGTGGGCTGCGTAACTGTACATAAAACGTTGATACATGTATAGTTAATTATTTAAACGCGTAAGGAGATGTGGTATCTTGCAAATCAACTAGCCATTAAAGACCAAAGGATAAGAATTGAATACTACAACTACAGGTCACCATAGGTCCTTTAAAATTAGCAAAATCTATTCGGTATTGTAAGCTATAAAGGCCCTTGAATAAACAAGCAAATACATCATATGGCATGGTTAAACAAGGGAATGGGCGCTCAAGTCATTATTCCCTTGAAACAGTTGTGAAGAAGCTCAACACAAAAACTAACTGTAACATTCAGTTGAACATGGCTTGACTCACACGATAAGTGCTAAGCATATTTGTGAAAATATGCTCATATGAAAACAGAGGCGGATTAAGGAGGGGCAGGTTGTCCGTCCCCCTTTATGGAGCTACATGTCCTTTTCAAAATGCTGGATCCGCATCATGAAAAAGTCCAATTATCGTTGATAGTTATTAAAGCTTATTTATTTGTTAGATAGTCAACATGTTTGCATCGTCTTGGTTATTATATGACGCGGTGGTGCAGATTCTACAATTATATGTAATGTACTTAATGAAAGCTTAATCGCAGTTATCATTAAAGCGCTTTTAGTTTATTCAGTTGTAACAAATGATAAACGATGTTGTTATTTTTAAGTCTCGTCAATTTTTTAGTTCATACTAATATTTGACGATTCATTAGTCTTGCTTCGGGGCAATACACAAAGAAGAAAATGGCTCAGGGTTATGCATTCGGTATTCCGTCCTGTACATACAAAATACATCATTTTATAGACGTGATCTCATAAACACTAAAAACTTCTTAACACTTGAGAAAATGCTTCACTTCAAGAGCACTTCAATAATACCAAAATAATACACGTTTTCATCAAGTTTTGAAAAAGTGGTCTCCAATTCTGTACATATTATGAAAATGACTTAAACCTAAAAAAAACCGTTCTTACTGCATTTTTCGATGCGTCATACGTCAGTTATGTGATAATACCAACTATGAACAGTAATGCTTTTAAAATGAAAACAAAACGAAGAAGCTGACGAGACAAAAGCACTTGCGAAAGCATAAAAATGCACAAAGTTCCAAAGCACAAATAACTACTCATCGCAGACTAAAAGCAACAGCGGTATCGACCCAGTGTTAGTAAATAAAAGCTGTGAATACGAATCAAATTCATATCACATCAGGTTGATGCCATTATGGTGCATTCATCAAAATATGTACAAATTTTTACTACCACATTTCAATTATCAAAATCAATCCTGAGGTATATTATCATCCATATCAGTGTTTTCTCCTGATGAAATAATCTCGGTCTCTTCGGAAGCGCTTCCAACATGATCAGTGTATGCAGTTTGGACGTCCACCGACAAATACAACGATCGTCAAATACAACGAGGCAGATTACAGGTTACATCGACAACAAATTGCAACACACGCCATGTTCTTCCATTTAATTTACACCCCAACTGCACCTATCTTGAAGTAGAATCATCACTGATAGACATGATAGAGCATTAGGTAAAAAGGTAATGAAACAAGATTTCTACTGTTATGCAACCTATACAACATGGTAATTTACTCTCAGTCCCATAACACTCAGCGACATGAACATAGCACAAAAAAACGGCATAGCTTTAGTGAGAAATGCAGTGGAAAAAAACAGTTACCACCAAGCCGAACTCCGCCATAATGACGGAAGGATATACTGACAAGGAGATAACATATCGTACAACTGCAGCTACATAACATTCATCTCAACTGCAACCAGACTTAAAAGAATTTGATATAAAACAGAGATTAAGGGAAACGGCATACAAGGAAGATGGAAAAAATAGTCATTATCAGATTGTCAATGTTATCACGTGGAAAATTACAATCCATCCAAATGCTGTTTTATATTTAACCCATTACACATAGACCAACAACCAAAAGACACATTAACACCCGATATTCATAACTGTTCAAGTAGAAATAACCGATAGTGACTTAACAGAAGGTCAACTACAAAGACCGATTGATCTCTTCAGGTCATTCGAAGATATATTTGATAAGAATTATGAATGTTGGTAACAGAGCAATCAATCGCCGCATCATTCTAAGCGATAACGTACCATTTAAACTCATGATATTTATGATGAAGTGAAGACACATCTTCGATATATATATATTGGCAAATGGTACTAACAGATCATCACACAGTATATACACATCTCACGTAATCCTCACTCGTACGAAGAATGGAAGCTCAGACTAGTGCGGTATATCGACAAGAGAATATATGTTAACGATATAAAACAGCTTTTCTTTGCCACGGTTTGAAGATCATTTTTTACCACCGTCGATATGAAAAATGGATATCATCAGTTATATACCCTAGAGGAATACAGATTTGTGTGTTTTTATTGTTGGTAAACGCCACTTTTATCAACCTTAGCCATTTCATGCTGGCCAGTTTTATTGGGGGAGGAAGTCTGAGTTCAATAAGAGAACCACTGGTTGGAAAACCGGCAAATCTTGTCAATTAAGGTCGAAATCGAACACACCTTGCCAAGAGCGTGGTTCGAACTTACAACTTCAGAGTTGACAGGCTAGTAATCATCGTAGATGAACTACTTAAATCACTTCGCCACCGAAGCCCCAAAAGCATAAAGACAGGGACAGAAAGTCCACTGGGATAAGCGGATACCATTTGGGTTGACCAATTATCCTGCTTCTTAATAAAGGATGATGAAAGAGTGCTTGTCAGATTTTATTCTAGAGATAGTTTACATCTTTATCTATGATATCATCATCTGTGGCAAGACATTTTAAAGACAACTAGAAAATATTCGCATTGTCTTCAACAGGTTCTGTCAACACAACGTAAAGGTTGAACAAGACAAATGTTCTTTGTTTCAAGATGAAAATCAAATTCTTCGGCCAAGCTGTGTCCGTTGGTATTGAGATAGATCATGCTGTTTCCGTTGATGGTATTGAGATAGATCATGCTGTTTTCGTTGATGGTATTGATATTAATCCAAATAAGACAGGAAAGGTGGTCAATTTTCCTAAACGAACCAACCCAGAAGATTAAGGATATTCGCTCTGTTTTTCAAAATAACAAGCTTTTTAAAAGACTGTTATAAATTAATAGTATATAAATAATGGAACTTGAAAAGTAGATAAAAATTACAGGTCCGTGTCCTTGTTTTTGAGATATAGTCAATTGAAAATTTGGCGGGAAATTATTCTCTCTAGACTTTTCATACATTTAACATTGGCATCTTTTTTCTTTCAAAAACTATGAAAAAATAACAAGGATTTTATAAGATTTTAAAATATTGATTTTTGAACAATATGCAATAAAATTATGAAAAGAAAAGTAGGGGTTAGCGCGCAAAATTTTTATTGGTACTACATGGATAAAACTTGAGGATTCCGAATATCTCACAAAAGTAGCGAACATCCTTAAGTAAGCCACTTTTCTTAAAGAACGAAGAGTGGTGATTCTAATCCACTTACTAACCATTTACCACAAACAGCTGACATGGATTGCTTGGAACTATATGATTAAATCTGAAAACAAACTTGAAAATCTACGAATATTCTCATGTTGACGAAATTTTAGGCTTGGTGTCTTTGATGGGTTTTTTAAACCACTGGGTTGATGCCACTGCCGATTGACATTTTGTCCCTGATGGTATCACCTGCCTTGTAGTCAGCACTTTTGTGTTGACATGAAATATCATTAATATGTTCATTTTCTGTAAATTTACTGTTTACGAAATGTGGAATTATTTGAAACACTAAAGATTGTTCTACCCCCAGGCATAGATTGCTTTAGTCGTATTTGGCACAACTTTTCAGAATTATTGGTTTTTGGTGCTCTTCAACTCAGTATTTCATTTGGCCTTCCAACTGTTTTGATTTGAGCCCCACTGAAGAGTCTTTTGTTGACGAAGCACGCATCTGGCTTACCAAATTATAAGTATGGCATCTTTGATGAGTGTTAACCCATTTTTAAAGCGTACAATTGTACCCGTCATAAAACCACTGGAGTAGCACCTTACTTTTTGAAGTTTGGAATCCAAAACTACCTATCGACCTAGCATTTGGCCTTCGTAAGCTAAAGACCCACTAATTCGGGCCCAGTGAGAAGGAACATACAAGAAAGCAGTACATATTTTAAACAAAATAGTTCCTACGCATAGCTGTAACTTTGTCAATAAGTAATATGTTTGGGTAATTTTGGTACCAAATGAAAGCTTAAGGACTTGGAATCACTGTAGAATAAAATTGAGAATGGAAACGGAGAATGTGTCAAAGAGACAACAACCCGACCAAAGAGCAGAAAACAGCCCACGGCCACCAATGAGTCTTCAACACAGCTAGAAAATCCTCTTCTTTAAAGTTTCTTTTGAATAATAAAAAAATATATATGAAATTTGAATAGGAGGGCATATTTGCCCAGTTGATAAGATCAGAAGTACCTGTTTTTGTACCACCAAATCTCCAAGAACCAGTGCGCACTAATATGCAATTAAAGGTATTAGCACAAGCTAGGATAAGGTATAGTCTTGATATGAAATGACTGTCACTTTATTTGAAATTAAGACAAAAAAGCTATGGATGCTTAGAATTTTAGATAGAAAGCAAATATGCTATGAAGAGTGTACAAGGCACCGCCACGAAATCTATCGGTACCAGGACAACATACTGCCATGCCATCTACGGACTGAATAAAAGTAAATATTTTATAAACCTCATTTTGGACGCATGAAACTTATAACGTGTTGTTTTCACTTTTTACAGCACTCGGTCGATGCCTCTGCTGGTCGACTATCAGTCCCCAAAAGGGAATCATCAGCTCAGAAGTCAGTACTTCGGTACTGATATGATTTATAACAATCCATTCAAAAATTGTCTGTTTATGAATTTTGAAATTATGAAGAAACTAAAGTTTCAACACCCTCAGATGGATTTGGCTATTTTTCAGGTTCTTTTTGGTCATATAGCTCTTCAACTGTTTCGGTTCTTATACATCCTTGGATTTCAAATAATCGACTTTGATCGTTCCTAATGAAGGTAAATCCAGAAAACCGCTTCGGACGCGTACAATTTATAACGTGTTGTTTTCATTTTTTTTTTAGGGAAAATAATTATATTTTTTCAATCTTACAGTACATCTAGTCGGTTCCTCAGTATACAAAGATATGTTTTGATGTTTTGATGCAAAGGATCTTCCAGGTAACGATAAGTTTTATAATTTTTGTTCTAAAAAATTGAAATGAGACGATTGTTGGGCATACACTTTGATGCATAACAATACAGAAACAAGTCTACTATTAAATTGGCGCAATTTGTGCCCATAGGATACCTACAACCTGTCGATAGACATTATTGTCGAAACGTTCATAGATGGTTGCAACATGTGGAGCAGGATCGGCTTACTCTTCTGTAGCACATGAGATTACCCCCGGTTTTGTTTTTTTTTTGGTGGGGTTAGTTTTGCTCAATATTTTTTTATACTGTTGTTTGTCGTTTTTCGTTTTTTGACATGGCATTCTCATTTTATTTTCGACTTATGCGTTTGAATATCCCTTTTGTATTATTCGCATCTCTTGTACATAGATGTTGCCAAGAAGAAAAGTTACGGCTTTAAACATCTAATCACATTTCCAGTAAGTATATCTGAAATATTTAACCTTTTTACCACAGAAGATTTGACATGAGTTACAGCAAATAAATTGGCAATCAGATTTTTCAAAGGACCATTTAATTTAATAAAACCATCTTCTTTTGATCAGATTCTGTGGGAGTGTAGTATAGAGAATCGCTGTCATCCGAATAGAAAGGATCATCAGAAGCACGTTATTATCTAAAATACCAAAGGAGATTTTTACACTACAAAAATTATTTTATATTCGATATTTTTTCATACGCCATAATACAAAAGTTATTAATGAATTATTTCTTAATTGTAGTACGTTTCAGTTTTAAATTAATATGCTGATTATGTTTTTTCAGAAAATACTAGGAGTCTACTTTTGCTTCTGAAAATTCAACTTTCATTTCATTATTCTAAAATTCTGATTTCCTTGATAGAGTGCTGCTTCTTAAATGGAAGCTATGCCTAGTGGTGAAGTTGAAATCATCTCCTCTAAAACTTTACTGACGCCATCGACAGTGGTTGACCGATATGGAAGATGAAACAGATGACGCAAATATGTCCTAATTGTCGTAACCACAATCCCGTCCCCTTTTATTAACATGAGCAACACAACGGGTGCCACATGTGGAGCAGGATGGGCTTACCCTTCCGGAGCACCAGCAATCACCACCGGTTGTTTGGTGGGGTTCGTGTTGCTCAGTTTGGTTTTCTATATAGTGGTTTGTGTACCGTTGTTTGCCGTTTCGTCGTTTTTCGGTGTTTTTGCTATGGCATTGTCAGTTTGGTTTCGATTTATGAGTTTGAATATCCCTTTGGTATATTTCACCTCTTTTTTATCGTCTGTGATATCAGCTCGTGATGAGCTCGTCTGCTTGTACTGGACATCCAACTTTTGAACTCAGCATAACAACTCCTTTTCCTGACTTAAAAAGTTGTCAACAAGATAATTTAAATACTTGTAAAAATCAAATAAAGTTTGTTAGATAGAGCACTGCCTAGTCAACGAACACTCGTCTCAAGGCGGAAATATCTAGAAGCAGGTTATTACTAATACATTTCACACAACTATACTTATGACCTCGCAATTTCCCATGAATTCCATGGTCATTTAGCTTAATTTTCATTCCATCGTGGTCAACCGTATAACACGCTTTATAACTGTTAAGAAACTTCCGAAGGTATGTTGTTCTCACCGGGTACTCCGGCTTCCTCGATCAATAAAACTGTTATGATATAGCCAAGGTCGCAGAAAGTGGTAATAAACAACAACAACACAACAAACGAACGAACAAATTAACTGTCAAGAAATGTCACTTGTATAGAATTATTTTTGTTTTTATAGTAATCTACAACTTCTTGCAAATTAAAAGAGGTGCAAAAAATATAATTTAAAGGACATCTGATATAACATTTTTTGAGTACTAGGAAAAATTTTCCAGTCGTTCATTTTTTCTGTTATCCAGTGATTTCAGTTTGCATAATATAAGCAATATACCACGGTGAAATTCAATTTCCAACCTTAAACAACGGAATGACGACATCAGATTTCCAACCAATAGTTGTGATACACTGATAAATGAATAAATCACTCCAGTTGCACAAATGTTTCAATAACATACAAAGACAAAAACCTCACATGCTATATATCATTTGTATATGGTTGTGACGGGAATATTTATTATGCTACCGAGTTGTCGATAAGATGAGTAAATTGATTGATTCGGTAAAACCAATGTTAAAATTCTGAATTATAGCTGGACAAAGCAGGAGCTCCGCTTTGGGCTCTATTTTGCCCAAAAATAAAATATTACAAAATCCGATGACTTTGTATTAATACAACTAATCAGTATGTGAAAAAGTTTAAGCTGTAAGATTTTTTTAAATAGCATGAATATTTACAGAGATTTTACGGTCGAAAAATACCATTCTAAAATCATTACGAAATTTGCATATATTTTCACCCATATATGCTAGTGGGTAATATTGACCTCATGCAAGTACTGTACCACAAAAATATGAAATATGTTGTTCAAACAGAAAAACACTGTGATTAAATATTTAGTTGGTACTTGCATATGCTCCATATTTGCGGGTTCATAATGCTGTGTTATTTATAGATCTTTATACGAAAAAACGTAAAGAGGCCTTTTCCGTGACGTCATGAATAGGAAACTATCGTTTTTAATTTTGAATTATCTCAATTTTAAATCAAACACATGAATATTGTTTATTCGAATTGTAAAAAATATCCCCATGTAAAGAAAATTTTAAAAACAAGTTGTGTACTCTAGCCATTGAAATTTAATATCATTAAATTCGGAGGGAAAAGTATAACAAATATAGACGTATTTACACATGTATGCAAATTTGTCCGCCACTACTTAAATTCACACAAGTTCCCGTAAAATTTGACATCACAATTTAAAAGATTTGACATCATAATTAAAAAGTGATTGGTGCTTGACGTCAGAAGGTTATTCGGAAACAGATCTAAGGTCATTCGGAAACAAAATTTAGCTAAATACCAAGTGTGAAACCAACTGTCATATTCCTGACTTGGTACAGGCATTTTCCGAAGAAAATGGTGGGTTAAAGCTAGCTAACCCTACCACTTGTATGCGATCGGACAGAAAAACAATTGAGTTAGTGAAAATGTTGCATAGCTGAAAAACATAACATATTTGCAATTTATTATTCATTTTAAATAGTTCCTAACTCTTTGTCGTGTAATGATTATTCTGTTTACCTTTATATTTATAAAACTCTAACTAAATTTACATCAATGGAATACTACTTCTTAGTACTAGTACGTGTATGTGTAAGCTTTGCTAATAGTATTGACAGGTGTATTTATTTGAGTTTAATATATAAAAAAAGAAGAGGTGGTATGACTGCCAATGAAATAACTCTCCACCAGAGACCAAATGACGTAGAAGTTAGTAACTACATATGTCAACTTAAGGCTTGGGACTGGCACATGCAGAATATGGCGGGGATAAACATGTGTGCGGACGCCCAACCCTCCCCTTACCTAGGGCAGATGTGTAACAGTTCAACATAAGAACAAACTATAAAAAAAAATCAGTTGAAAAGGGCTTAAATTATCAGATCGATACAAAGCACAAAAACCCCTAACAATAATACTAAAACATACAGTACAGATCTTTTGTTGGTTTATTTATCATTCATTCAGTTTTTATCTTCCCTTATTCCATAATCAGCTAGTATTTTCTCCAGTCATTTTTAAAGGAATATCATATGAGTATGCATCTTTCTCTTTTTTTAAAGGTACATACGGATTTAAATAGTTATTGCTGTCTTGTGTTTCGTTTTCCGAATCTGATGAGCTTGATTGTTCTTTATGGATGACAACTTGAGTTGTATTGTGATACCTTACAGGATCTTGAGCCGTTTCCGCTAAGGTTATGCATGGATTTGGAGTAACGCATTCGTCACAACCCTCTTCTACACTATCTGTTGAGTTTGTAGCATTATGTTGCCCATGACTATCTTTATTAATTTCTAAACTTAAGATCTTTTTCTGGTTTACAGATTCGTCTTCTTTTAAGCCACTGTATGGCTTAGGAAAACTAGAAGTATCACTTTGAGAATTTGGCATACTTTCAGAACTCGATGATCCCTCTATAACTTCTAAATAAGGACTGCACTTGTCTACCGCTGTCGTTTCTATATTACTTTCATCAATGGTATGATAAACGTCTTCATTCATCTCAAAATTATCGGACCTTCCTTGAACGTTCTCGTCGTTACCCGTGTGAACTATGTTTTCATTAGCCGACACCGATGGTAATGTTTTTGTCTTTCTTTTTCTAACATTATTCAAACAGTAAGTCAACGCTAGAAGAAAAATGATTCCAGTTACTGTTCCAGAGTAAATTAGCAAGTGGTTCCTTGATATTCCTAAAACATAAAAATTGCGCATGTGATCGTTATTGTCATTGAACAATCATTTTATGGTAACAGATATTATAGTTGATATATATTTACAGAATAGAGAATAATGGACCAAAAATTAAAGAATAGATAATAAAGAGCAAAAGATTAAAAATGAGAAGAATTGCCTAAAGATGTAAAGAATACAGAATAAAGACAGTCTACATCCAGACCCTCTTATTTCATTTAACATTTATTTAGTTTCCGCAGTTCCAAGTGTGTTGGCAGTCTTTAATAGAAAACAGATTTTTTACGCAGTAGCAAAAGGTCCCCAGCGCTGTAAAAATGAGGAATTAAGTTGTGTCACAATATGTCATTGTGGTATAATCGTCAAAATATGGCAATAGTCCCATAACTCCATTAATAATTGTCATATCAAATGACAGTATAATATGATCAACTACGCATGATGGCAACCAATCCTTCCAAATATGAGAGGTTTCTGTAAAGCGGTCTCCGAGTTTTTGCGTTCACATGGTGTTCTTTTTTACAATATTCCAACAAATTATCAAAGTTTCAAAACTCCCGTTAAAAATGGTCAGTTCAAAATGGCGGTACATTATGAATAACTACACATGATGGCAAACAATAGAGCCAAGTATTAGAGCATTCTGCCAAATGGTCTCAGAGGAGTTTCGTTTGCAAGGTGACACGACACTATTACAACATTTTTTTTAAAAATCATCAAAATCCCATAGCTCTCGTAAAAATGGTCAGATAAAAACTACCGTATGATATGGTCAACTACACATGATGGCAAACAATACCGGTATTGCAAAACATGAGAACTATCTGTAAAACGGTCTCAGGGGAGCTTCGCTTTTACAACAAATAGTCAAAGTGCATTAACTCCCGTATAGAAGGTCAAATAAAAATGGCGGTACAATATGGTCAACTACACATGATGACAACCAAAGAACCAAGTATAACAGATTTCTGTCAAATATCCCAGAGAAATTTCGTTCACGACACTCCAAAAAAATAGTCAAAGTTTCATAACTCCTTTAAAAATGGTTGAATAAAAACGATGGGTAAAAATGGTCAACTACACATGATGGCAAACAATAGGACCAAGTATGAGATTTCTGTCAGTTGCGTTCGCAATGCAACTCTTCCTAGACCGACGAGACACACTACTCAAGAAATAGTCAAAGAACCATAACTCTTGAAATCATGGTTGAATCAAAATGGATGTACACTATGATCAACTAAACATGATGAAAAACCATCTAACCAAGTATGACAGCTTTCTGTGATACGGATTCAGAGGAATTGTTACAATACGAAACAAAAAAGGTCAAAGTTCCATAACTAATATTAAAATTGTTAAATCAAACTTTTGATATAGCAAAGTCAACAGAATATGGCGACAAATAATCCTACCAACTATTAAATCTTTATTTCAAACGGTCTCCAAGTATTGTTGTGTTCCGGGCAGACGAACGAAGACCATAACTATATCTTCCGCGTAGCTATGCGCGGGGAACAAAATAGTTATCAAATATCAAAACTATCGTAAAAAGTTTAAATCCAACTGACATGTAATAATTGTGAAATTTTCACTAGTCCACAATTTAATTGCAGGACATGCAGTTTTAACCATTACGCCGAGAAGTAAAAGAAAAGAGAAAAGATAAACAAATTTGTTTTCATACCGTTTTCGTCTAAAATCGATACTGTCATGTCCTCATTTGTGCTAACTTCAACAGGACCTATTCCTATCAAAAATAAGCTCAGTATCATATTGTTATGTAATAATTATGCTTTTGAGATATTCATGATTTGTAATATATCTATAGATCATATTATCACCAGAAATTAATACCATTACTTTAATTTTTCAATGCATACAAACTACAAAATGTATTGTAAATCGATAAATCCATATAACAGCCTTTAACCCATAATTGTTTACTTTTAACACATTTTGACTTGGATGGAGAGTTGTCTCATTGGCACTCATTCATATTTAGCCTCATTTTGAGATCTTGTTAGTGATATCTATATCAGCGAAGACAAACACCTAATCCTATTACTGGAAAATTAGTGTTGGCGAATCACAAATATAAAAAAATCTTTTTTTTTATGTTTATTTTTATTTAGGTTTTACTAAATGACGTGTATTTTAACAATTGATTGATTGATTGTTGGTTGCTTAACGTCCAGTCGTGTTATTAAACAAAGACGTTTTGAATTCCCAAAAGCTACATGTTTTATTTAAATTTTTACATTTTTGCAGTAATTTCAAAACCTTTAATTTTTCTTCGCTCTACGCTCTACAGCACATAACTATTTCCCATGCTCAACTGAAAGATCGACTACATAGTATCATTAAACAGAACTGTTTCAACAGTATTGGAATCGTAGAAAAAAAATCATCGATTTAGGTCATGAATAACCTTATTTCGAGAAGAACCAAACTGATTCCAACAACAAATACACTGAAGATTTCTCGACAACGTATTTGGTGGTTTGATATTTCAGCAGACTCTGTATTTCAATTGTTACTAGTTTTGCACCCCTACTGGTCGACTTGATTCCCTCAATATTTATTTTTAGTTTTTTGCCTTTTTTATCATCCTAATGAAAGGTCTGTCAATGCGAGACGTAATATTAATGTATGTGGTGTTTTACGAGCCGCTAAACTTCTACCTGAAACAAACTTGAAATTGATAATAAAGTTGATGAAGTACTATTAGCATGAAAAATAATTTAATAAACATTCAAACTTCCAAAACTTCGTTTTTTTATACTGATAATGTATTAAGAATTTTTTTTTTTCTTATCAATTTATTGAATACAACTGCCACAACTAGTATTTGGATACAAAAGGTAACATAATGTTTGTGATAATATACAAAAGAGGGACGAAAGATACCAGAGGGACAGTCAAACTCATAGATCGAAAACAAACTGACAACGCCATGGCCAAAAATAAAAAGACAAACAGACAAATAATAGTACAGATGACACATCATAGAAAACTAAAGACTAAGCAACACGAACCCCACTAATCGCAGGTGCTCCGGAAGGGTAAGCAGATCCTGCTCCACCACTGGCACCCGTCGTGTTGCTTATGTTATTACAAATCCGGTAAATAGTCTAATTCGGTAAGTCACATTCGTGAAAAGGGAAGGTATTGTAGTTACGACATAAGGAACATATCCGATATCATCTGTGAAACGGTTATTCCATAACGGTCAACCAACTCGTGATGGCGTCCGTAAAATTTACGAAGGGATGATTTTAACTTCACCATTTGGAACTCTTGGTTTAATAGCTTCCTTGTGAGCAGCAATTCTCTATCAAGGAAATCATGATAGGAAACACAAGCCCGGGAATATCGTATCAATTGGGAGATACAACTTTTTGGAATTTTCGATTATTAATGTTCTTCAAATTTGTCACTGGATTTGGCTTTCCAGCTGTTTTGATTCGCGCGCCACTGTTGCGTATTATGTAAAGGAAACGCGCGTCTGTCGTACCAAATTATACGTCTGGTTTCTTTGATGAGTTTTTTTTATATAACTGTTATCCAAATTTGAAGTTGCACCTGTGTTGACTTCTGTGTTGTGTCGAGTTCCAAGGCAGATAGTCATTAATATGATTTCAGTTCCTTCCTGGTGACCTTCAAATTAAAATTATTGATACTAAAGTATGACAATGTTTCAGCTACAGATATTTATCTCTTATTATGAAGAGTGAATTTTGATTACAGAATGCAAAATGTTAGAAAGCGCTGAGCATCCATCGTTTTACTTCGAATACAATCATCTTCGGCTTGGTGATAGGAAAACATTTTTATTTAAAACATACCTTGACTACTTTCAACCTTGTTAAAAGTGGTAAATCTGGACGTTGCTATCAAAATCGATGTTATATGTTCTACAAACCAAAAAAAAAACAACCAGTATATCTTACATACTTTATTGATCCGAAATCTGAAAAAAGTAGATTTATTCATTCGAAACTGTACTTAACAATGATTCAATTTTTATTTTATTTAATCTGCATGAAATCTTACATCGACTAGGACTCTAAATTGGAAACTTTCTTGTCAAGTATAAGAATAAAATTTCACAGGGTTATGGTATACAATAGTGAGATTTTAAGTATTTCTCTGCAATAATTATGTACTTAAAAATCTAAACTGTAATGGTATTTAAGTTAATTTATTCATGTACCAGTTTTAGAATAGGCTGTAGATGATACTTCTTTTAATACACACCCTCTGACATGGTCACATCTGTAAGAAAATATATGGTATTAAATTTAAAGATTTAGTTCAGTTAAAGTGAGAGCAATGATAAGTTTTCAAAATTTTAAACTTTAGAAATACTATATTTCATTAAACCAGTAATAAAATGACTGCCATGACATTTTCAATTTCACCGAGTTGATCAACCATACTCAAGCAGGCGAACAATAAGCCAGCGAACAATAAGATGCATCAAGCTAGCGAACAATAAGCAAGCGAACAATAAGAAAACGCGCCAACCTGATCATGCCTAAAAACCGAAGACTTGCAATAACATGAAACGTCCTTTGAAATCTGATGACAATCATTTCCAGTAAGAAGACGAAATGCAATTCATTTTAACACAGACAAAGTTGATTAGTTAACTTTTTTTAAGCCGGGCATCTAAAATTCCTGTTAGCTAATCCTTTCTTTTTTTAGTGTTCTCTTGATTAGAGATGGGTTTGTTGTCTTTATAATAATGAAATAATTAATAACAATAGTTCATACTAAACTAGTGTAACGATACAATTAAATCTTCTAGCTTATATATGCGTTTAAAAAGAAAAGAAAAAAAAACAGACTGATTTTGGAACGTCAAGTATTTTTTTGTTATTTCTGTTCCAATAAAAGCTGATAACTATTATACGCAGTTTTCTTCTTTTGTCAAAAAACAAGTACATTTTTCTAATTATTCAAAAGTATGTCGTTACACTGGTAATTTATTTATTATATTTCGATACGAAGAGTGATTATCGTAAGAGTGACACACAAATAGAACGAGAAACGAATAGACACTAAGATTTTGGTTAATCTAAAAAATTGAGGTCCAATGTTGGGGTACGGTGACCCAACCCCCTCCCACTTTTTGAAATTACAGGTAAAAAAGTAATGAAACTTGCAGGAACTACACATATGCCATATGTGTAGGCATATTCAATTCAACACATACAAATTTTAAAAAGAACTTTCTGCCTATCTAAAAACAGTCATTGGAAGAATACTTGCAAACTAATCCGAGATTTAAGGAAATACACACATGCATTTCATTTTGAAAAAGGGGGCGGGGGGTATTCTCAAACGTAATCATATACCAACTAGTATTCAAATGTGTTTTGAGCATAAAGCTAGGTAATAATTGCTGCATTACAAAATTCAAATAAACTTTATTAAACAGTGTTCATTTAATCAGTTAAAAAATTCAAACTTATAATAGCAGCAGTATTTCAAACACATAACATTGTTAACTGAATTATGTATGATGGTGACATTAGTTATTCTATTAAATCAACAGTTCTATGAACAATTTGTACTTACAAAATTACATATTGAATATCCTATATTATTGAACCAAAATGCCTCCTTGATCTCTTATATGTAACATTTCTCAAACACAATCAACATGACCTAGCCCACAATTTCAAATTGTTAGCTACCAGGAAGTGACAACTAGGCATTCCCAGTCAATATTGTGTAATTCTTGCCATGTTCTGGCAAACATATAGAATGGTCAAAATTTTCTGCAAACTTGCGGCAAACATATAGCATGGTCAACGATGTCTGCAATCTTGCGGCAAACATTCTATATTATCTTAACTTTCTTGCAATCTTACTGCAAACATTGATGTTTCTGAAAAATTGCCGCAAGGTTGCAGCAAAAAGCTGCAATGTTTGCGGGAAGTTTGCAGCTAGCGGCAAACATCTGCAAACACTATTTTCTGTTTTCCTGCACAATTTTTGTTTGCCGCAAACTTGCAGCAAGTCTGCTGCAAATTTGCGGCAATTATTTCAGTTCTATAAGGGTAAATGTGGGACAATGGGGAATTGTTTTGATAGTGATTAATATGTTTTTATAGTGTGTAGCAGATAATTAAGGTAACTAATCAATGTAACTTTTAAAATATGAAATAAACATGAACAAATAACAATATTTACAAATTTTTTTTGCAAATGATAGGTACAATTGAAATATCTTCAAATATAAAATATAATATAGAGTCATAAAATAGCATATATAACAAGCACAACTCAATTCTACATAAATGTGTACTAAAAAAGTTACAATTAAGCACACATAATAAACAGCTTAATTCATTAAAGCACACACATGACATGAACAGCAGACACAATAAAGCACACACAATGCAGAAGGTACAATAAAGCACACATAATACATAACATAAACATCACAACACAACACAACACAACACATCATATAATAGCAACAAATGTAGTCCAAGTGTAACAAATAAGAGCTAATGTTATTATACTGATAAACACTGACTTCACCATTCTGAAGGTGATCTTTGAGTTCTTGTACGCCGCGGTTGATTGAGTTGTGTGTTTTTTTTTATTCTATTTGTTGGTCGTACTCCCCAAGCTTGGTACTGGATGATGATCACTTCGTATGCTGTCTGCTCTTCTTTAAGGTAGTTCAGTAGCTTGTATATATTTTGGTGTGGTACTTGGATCATCTTCTCCAAGCTGCTGTGCCATCCTTCGAGTTTGTTCGTCGTCCTGAGTCCTTCGGTTTGGTCATGGTTCTATAGTTGCCTGTTGCCTTTAACCCAGTATGTTGTGACGTAGTCCGTAAACGAAGTGGTATTCGCTGTTGAGTCCGAATTTTCCAAGTCTTTAAATGCATGGAACAAGACGTCAAGTCTATTTCTGCATGTGATACAAGGGGAAGAACTGCTGACCTGCGTATAAGTTGATAAATGTCATGTTCTCCTTTATTATAGTTGGTGACGAGTCCTGCTGACTGCGCTTTACGCCAAATACACATTTTATACTGGGTATAGCGAAAAAAAACACTTTTAATAGTGATTCCTGGAAAAGATGATCTGTCAGACTTCTGGACAGCAGCTTCATTATCAATAAAAAATGTTGTTGGGTTCAGGTGAATCTGACGTTGGGTGCAAGTAGACTTCAGTAGTGTAAAGAATCTTGTGTAAATGTCCTCTGACTTCCCTGGTAAAAGTGCAAAGACTGAGTGGAACCATCTCTCCATTAACAAGTCGTGTTGAGTGTACAGTGTAAATGAGTTGAGGTATACTTTTTTAAATCGCATGCATCATTTCTAAATTTATTTAAAAATTTTAGAAAAATGTAATTAAAATTACGGTATTGATATTTATTTTATAAATAAACGTAACATTCTAGATATATTTAATAACTCAGAAATGTTATATTATTTAATCAAAAGTGCATAATTCTGATGATTTCTTTTTAAAACATATTTTATACATTTATCAAATATAGTAATAGCTTGAACATGTAATAATCAAATCTTTTTTATTTAGCAACCCAAACAACAGTTACCTTGTTTATTTAAGAACATTTTACTTCATAAAATATTATGGGACAATCAGAACTTTTCGTGTGGGACAATGAGAACTCTAAAATTTTAAAAAGTTGGACAATCGGGAATAAACCATTTAAATTTAATTCATAAAAAAGTCCCTACGGCAAAGCTTTTGTCCACACTAGGTACAAATGATAGGCAATTGCCTAAGGATGCCTGGACCCAAAGACCCAGGTGGGTAAAGTTACGGAACTGTTATAATAAAGGTCCAAAGTTGGGGGTTTGTCACCTTTCTACTTTAATTCATAAAAAAAAGTTGCGCACCCTACATTGATACAAGCCTTTAACGAAAAGAAGAACGAAATCCGCTTTTTCAAAAAGAAACCAATTTACTCAAACGCCTATGTTTTGAAAGGTAATCATTTAAATAGTTTAAACATTGTCTATATGTACGTTTATTCTACAAAAAAATGTTATTTTATGAACTATTTGACAGGATGCCGAAAGTACGGAAAGCCATTTCACACAAAACATAATTTCTAGTAGAAAAATTGATAAAATAACAGGGAATGCTGTTTACACTGTAGATTATTCAGCAAAATATAGAAATTTATCTGCAAAAACCAACAAAATATATACAGTTAACTGACGATAATAACTAATAAGTAGATCTTAATGAGCGGATCATTTTTGAGAAAAATCTTTTGTAAAAGTAAACGGGTGATGACGGCGGACGACTACGGACTACAAACGACAGATGCCAAATGTTGTAAAAAGCTCACACTGACCCTTTAGGCCAGGTTAGATACGATAGTTAATGCGTATTTATTAATACACAATATTTCAAGTTAAAACTAGATGTTTCCATTGAGCTGGACTAATAACCCCGCATCTTGGATTGACAGAGTATTATAGTTACTTAAAAACATAAAAAAAAAAAGCTGACAATAATATATTGGTCTTTTTTCTAGTACTGTAGATTCATGTGATATATTTTTTCTTTGATTTCGTGGAAAAGGGTGAACCACAAAAATAAAGGAGATGGGGCATCGATGCCCGGTTTTAGCCCAACAAAACAAAAATGTTTGAAAACTTTTCCAAATTGGCACATGATGTTTGGCAATGCATAGAGTCAAGAAATAAAAACATAAGATTATTCATCTGATGACCTGGGCCATCTGGTCTGGGCAAAAGACAAAAGCTTTGCCATAGGAATCTGTTAAGGATTAAAACTGTAAGGGGAGAGGTCTCCATGCCCTAATTTTGGACCTCTGTTAAAGAAATTCGGTGAATTAACCCACCTCCGCTATCTGGTCTGGGCAACTTCAAGGCATTACCTATCATTTGTTTATAGTATGGACAAATGCTTTGTCGTAGGAAATTTTCTAACAATTAAAGTTTGGAGGGGTAGGATTTCCTTACCCCAACTTTGAACCTAAGTTGCAGTAGTTCCGTGAATTAACTCACCTGGGTCATCTAATCCGGGCAACTTTATGCCATTGAATTTCATCTGTACCTGGTGTGGTCAAAGCTTTGCCGCGTACAGATTTTTTTTGACGAATTAAAGTTTTGATGGGGAAAGGTTTCCATATCCCAACTTTGGACCTCAGTTGCAAACGTTCCGAGAATTTATCCACCCGGGCCATCTGTTCCAGGCAACAAGTAGGGTATTGCCTATCATATGTACCTAGTCAAGAAAAAATCT